ATTATATTAAATTATTTTTATAATAATAATAATAATACCTTTAAATTATACCCGTTTTAACGTGACGGGTGATAATTATTTAAAATAAAAAGTATTATAATATTATTAAATTGTTTTTTCTTTTTTTCGTAAATTTTTCATTTTTCAAAAAGAGAAATAGAGACAAAAGCTATAAATAAATTAAAAAAAACCACCTTATTTTCTTTAATAAAAAAATGGGAAAAAGGAAAATGGTTCAGACAATATGGAGGGGAGAGCAGTGTTTGAAGAGAGTAGTCACGCGAAGTACGGCCTTTTTAACAAAAGCAAATTAAAAACGTACGAAGCGACTATGGACTGGACCACACAATGGGCGGTTCACATTGAGATCATCAAATACATTCGCCGTCTATGTTCCCAGACAACCCCACATTCATACACAAAAGCGTCTCATCGGATATATTCGACGTCAACTGTCTATTACCGTCGATTTTTTGCGGAGAAGGAAGTTGGTAAAACAGTTGATCCTCGGATTGTTGCTGCGTCTTCCGTTATGTTTGCCTCAAAAGTCGAGGGTTGTGTCATCTCTCCACAAATCATTATTGATGTCTCTAAAAAGACAATTGACTTTCCATTCACCATCCATGATTTAATCGACTTCGAGAGGACTTTAATCGAGTCAATGAAACATTCTTTAATAGTGTGGCATCCTGAAAAGGATTGTGAAGACATTAAAAACTCTTCCAGTCTCCCAGAGTTCTTTTGTGAAACGTTACAATCCATTTTGAACGACGCGTACTTCACAGACGTTATTGTTATATACCAACCACTTGAAATTGCACTGGGATGTGTTGTCACTGCTGGGATCCTCCAAAACTGTGACATCAGATCTCTTCTGTGTGCAAACGATTACAACCTCGAGAACGTCGAGGACGTTGCAAAAGAAATGCTGAGATACTACTCATTTGTCAATTCGCAAGACTTCGAGAAAACCCAGGTCTCGGCTCAAAAATATATTGGAGCGCTTCGTGTTTATTGCTATTTTTTTCCTTCCTTATTTTCAAGTTCATTCCACACATCATATTTTCTTGCAGTGAGATTGCATCATTCTTTTATTTTTATTTCTTAACATCATCTGTTGGTATAACTTAAATTTTATTAAAATAAAATTAGATCGTAGTTTCCCAAAAACGTTTATATTATTTATATTAATAATTTTATTAACAACATTAACTATATTATTATTTTACGTAATAATTCAAAATGAATAAAAAAGAAAAAAATCAAATTTGGAAAACTATATTATATAGTAACATAAATTATAAATAAAATAACAAATCATAAGATTCAAGAAGTGGAAAGAAAGGACTGAAGAGAGGCAACTAAAAAAGGAAAAATGAGTGTGCGGAGTGGATTCTCCTCAGTATCTGTTGTGTTTCCAGGGAGCACGTTCAAGTTCGAAAAAGGCTCACGGTTTGGTGATGGGATTATATCGAAGGAGGGTATGCCTGTTGTTTCGCGTGCGGGTGTATTGAAGTATCAGTCTGACACGAAGTACTACTACGTCTATAGCGATATTAAAAAATACCACCCGAGTGTTGGTGATGTCGTGGTTGGCTTAATTCGCCGAAGGACCAAAGACTTTTACTATGTTAATATTGGGGCGTATTGCGACGCAACCCTAGATCTTTTGGCATTTGAAAATGCGACCAAAAAGACCAAACCAAATTTAAACGAAGGGGACTCCGTCTATTGTCGAGTGATTGATACAAAAGGCGTTCCGCAAGTTGCTTGCATTTCGCAAAGAAAAATGGAAGACGGCTTTGGCCCGTTGGTTGGCGGGTGGACCTTCAATTTGCCACAGTCGATGTGCCGACGAATTATGGGAGATGGGTGCTGTGTGTTACCTTCTATCGGGCAATACACCCCATGTGAAGTTGCTGTCGGTGTGAATGGAGTAGTCTGGGTCCGAACGCCAAAGCAAATCACTGACGTCATTGTCGAGAATTGTTTGGTTGCTTGTGTTGGAACGGTTGACCAGAATGTTCCTGGAATGGTCAAACTGATTTTTGAAAAATGGAGAGCGACTGACTGAATTGATTAATTTAGGTTTTTCCTCTCTACCACGCCAAATTTTCAACCTTAAAAAGTTCAAATTGTAATTAATAAATCATCCGCTGGCCTAACAACAATGTGCAAAAACATATCCGACCCTGACATATTAAGTGCCAACCAAAGTAAAGGCGTATCCAATGGCACTGTGACGCCCTGGATAATCACCACAAATTTGTTTTCTTCTATCTTTCCGTCTTTGAGTACGACCAATTTTTCCTGTTGTTGATCGATCTCACGTTCATTGAAAAATATTTTCACGCCGTCACCTACTGTCGTCAGCTTCCCTTCAGTCAGTGTGAGTATTGCGTCTGTGTAACGCCTCCCATTGCCAAAGTACCAGTGAATGGGGACACAGTCCCAGTCTTCGTCTGTGATAACAAGTGGGTTATAAACCTTTTCGTAATCCTCCAGTTTTGTTTGTGCATGTGCTTCCCAGAGTGGGGGGATAAGTCCGACCTCCAGCTTTCTAATTGGTTGAATAGTTTTGAATCGAAGATAGACACTTTCTTTTAACTGTTGGATGTGGAAGTTCTTGATTGACTCTTCGTTTTCGTACGGCTGGAATTTGACGTCGTTCACGTTCTACTTGTTATTTCATTTGTCAAGCACACGACCATTTTCGTTCACTTGAACAATGTTAATTACAATGTAAGTTAAGTTAGAGTATTGAAGACACAAACAACACCAAGAGTGATTTCCATTGGAAGTGATCCGTTGTGTAATGCGTCGAAAATGACTCCAATTGGCCAACACCATTTAATTGGTTGGTCGTTGATGAAAAAAGCTAATGCGGTTGGCTGTTGTTCGACGTCGGCCAAAAAGTCTTGAATAGAGCTTTGAAGAAGAATTGGGAGGTATTCGTTTCTCGACGCATTGTAGAGAGTGTATTTGTCTTCAGCCTTAAATGGTATTCTGACAATGATTGGAATAGTCCCTTCTACTACTTTACGACGGATGGAACTGTCTACTAAAGTGGTGTATTGATCAGCTTTCATCTTTGCTTTTTAAGTTTCTTTTGAGTTTCAGTCGTTTTTTCTTTTGTTTTTCCTCTTTGTGTCTTTCATCATTTTCGAAAATCACTTGTGTGTTTTACTGTTGCGCTCATTTAGTTTTTTATTGTTTATTTTACTAATATATATAGAATATTTTTGTATAGAATATATATTATATATTTATTAATAACTTAATTATACCAAAATAGAAAATATGAATACTATAAAATTTAGTATATTATAGTTATGTAAATTAATAGAGACTTAAAGAAGATGATTTATTAATTAATACTTATAAACTCAAGAGAAGTTAATGGTTTGCCTCATTCTTATGTTAATTTCAATGAGATTTGGGATTTGTACCGTCTCATCTTTACCTTTGTCACTAAATGGGGCTTTCAGTGACAAAGGTAAAGATCTAACCCACATCATATATACACAATCATTTAATTTTTGTCTTGTTAAATTTTAAGTAAAAAAAATAAATTAACAGTAAATTTGTTTATTTATCCAATAAATTGTAAACATTTAAAATAATTCACTTATATAATATAGTAAATATATAGTACTTGTTTTGGTTTAGATAAACACTAAATTAATAAAAAACATAGTTTTCAATAATTTTTTTTTATTGTTTTCATTATTGGGAAATAAATTCATAATAAATTTCTAACATTTTAACGAACTATATTATGGTAATAAATATAATAAAGTTAGTATTAATAATTATATATTACTCTAATAAAAAAATCATAATGATTTTATACTTATAACATTTGTTTTACCCTCTTTCTAAAAACAGAATGGTTGATTTATTGTATATTTATAATTTTTTATAAGAATTGTTATAAAGAAAAAGAGAAAAAAGTTCTTTTGTAAATAGATGAACAAAGACGTGATGCATACAACTCAAACGGATTTCAACACCAAAACGACAATTAGCAACCCGCCAATTAGTGATGAGAAGTTGTCACAAAAGCCCACTAAGATTGAAAAGGTGGAACGAACAGAAATAAGAACCGAAAAAAATGAAAGAAAAAAGACACACTACCTTCCCCTCTTTCCTAGTAAGCCTCACCCAAAGCAACAAAAAGCATCCACCGAGACAGTTTCAAAGTCACAAAGTGTTTTAAGAGACTTCCAGAACTACCAAGCATCGCAACAAGCGATTTTCATCGCGCTGCTTTCTCTCACGAATAACGTGTCAATTGGAAAACCACTGAAGAAAAGCAGTGTCACAAGACAGTTCATTCGAGTGGTTGTTGTTGAGTCTGCTGATACGCACCAACGGATAGAAATTGAGAAGGAAGTTGAGAAAAGGTGTTTGGAGAAGCGGAGAATCGACATCAATAACGGGGTCAGTGAAAAAACTTCTGCTCGACGATTCAAAACGAATAAACGAGCCGAGTCGATGAATATACTCATTGAAGAGCTCAGAAAGGTCGGATATGTGTTTGAGTCGAGACTGACTGAGGGTAAAAAGGACACTATAAAGTTGGAAACTGTGTATAAAGTGACAAAAAAAGACTCCGGCCCGTGTTTTGATTCCGAGGAAATAGAAAAAATAGGGGAAGATATAAACAAGTACTTGTATTCACTCGTGAGCCACTCGAATGAGAATGTCATCGTTCACGATAACAAAGAACTCAAGAAATTGATTGGGGTAGACGTCGACGACGAAACTGAAGAAACCACGGAGCTTACCACAAATCAACCACAAAATCCGCCACAACCACCGACCAACCTGCACTGAACAAAACAAGATTTTTGTTGTGACGGAATTTTGGAGCGGGGTTTTGCTTTAAAAACCGCCTCATGTTAATTGTGTGTTTCTTTATCTTGAATTGGCAGTTTTGTTGGTATACATTTGTTGGTATAATCATCGATATTTAGGGTTCTTTTAGTTTTAAATACTACAACTAATAGTTAATCAATTCCAATGCCATTTTTAACTCAAAAGAACTAATAAAGCATGTCGTTTTTCAAAACACAGCGCGCCAAAGGCGACCAACAGAAGGTGTTGGAGACCGAGTGTTCTGTCGAGTGTTTTGTTGTTTCTCGCATATCCAATTCTCTCATTTTAGGAACCACGGACGGGAAGGTTATCGTGTATGACATGTCCACGTACGAGAAAAAGCGTGAGGTCCAGTTCTTTGGGTTTCCGACTGGCGTACTTGCGAAGCAGAAGATCATAGGTGTTTTGAAGTCGCAAGGACGGGATGAAGCAGTGAAGGAAGTTGAACGATTTGAGAAGGATGGGGAGTTTCAAATGGGAGAAGCGACGAATTATTTCAACATAGATATAGAGAATGACATGAGAACGACCGGATCGATCAAGTGTATGTGTTTAATTCACGACGAGAAGATAGGGATTGGGTTTAACAATTCTGTTTCGGTCTTTGATTTAAAGCAAATGGGGGACTTAGTCGTGATTACTGAAGACATGAAAGGCCATGAAGGGATGGTGAGGAAGTTAGAAACGGTGAACAACAAAATAGTATCTTTAGGCAACGACAAATTGATTTGTATATGGGGGAAAGATGGGAAACTTGAAAAGAAGATCGAACGCACGGACGAAGATTATTACTACAATGCTTCATTAGTAGTTGGGTGTGATTTATTAGTGAGTGGGAGTCGATTAACGCCATATATAATAGAGAAAGGGACGATGACTCGAGTTTTTGAGGTCTCGTTATATACAATTCCTTATAAAGATGACAAGGCGATGTTCATGCAACATTTGCATCATAATAGAATCTCTCCACATAATGGTGTGATCATTACTATTACAAGACTTGGTAATGGAAACATCTTAACAGGAAGTCAAGACGGCGTCTTTGCGGTGTGGGATGGGACAAAGTTCTTCTGTTTGTTTATTAAGATCAATTCGAGTCAGATGGACTATTTGAAGATGAAGCAGAATTGCCCCGTCCACTGCGCAGTACTCTGCGAAAAAAAAACTTGGCCGTCGGGATGAAGGACTTTATGGCCATTTTCGACACGGGAAGTAACTACCGAGAGACAACACCAACACGTCGCCCGATGGAAGACAAATACACTATGCCATTTGGGAAATATCGCGGGGATGTCACTGACATGTTTGTGGTCACTAAAGAAGAAGGGAAGTCAGTGGTCTATGTCGTCATTGGAGAGACTGGAGAAGTCCACGTCATCAATTTTGATACAAAGACTAAACCTTTGGTACTTAAGACTCATCACCTTGAAGGGAAGATTATAGCAACTTATCAAGACGAGAAACAGCTGATCTTGTATCCGCTGAAGGCGTCGCTTTAGTTCTAATGCCGTTTTAACACTAAGACACTTGGGTGAGTAGAAACTATTTCTTATTAATAAATTTATTAAATAATAAACTAGAGTACTCCTAGTAATTGTAATAGTTATTATAATTAAAACTATTTAATAAAAGTGAAGACGTGTAACTCAAAGAACTGAATATAACAAACAGGCATGAAAAGCTACATCTTCCGCTTTTTAAAACAATTTGACATGTTTCCGAAGGTGCCGAATAATGTGAAGATCAAATCTAATGCGACAGGAATACTATCTATCATCTCATATGCTATTATAGGGATATTAATCTTTAACGAAGCTTATAACTTCATGAACCCTAACTGGGTCTCTCACGTCGATGTCGATACCGTCAAGGCCGGAGTGCTTCCAAACATTTATATTAACGTCGACATCACTTTTCCAAATATGAAATGTGCGGACTTTGGGTTTGACGTGACGGAGATCACAGGAAGTCTCCAACTTGGTGTGACGGAAGGGATTAAATTTGACGATCGACTCTTTGGGGGGTGTCGCATGCATGGGACGATGAAGGTCAGTCGAGTCTCTGGGGAGTTCCATGTCGCTTTTGGTAAGATCGCGTATCGACAACAACGTACAAATCAAGTGATCACAGCAACACAGAAAGTTTGTTTTTATTTAACTAGTTAAATAAACTATATATGTATCTAATTTATAAATATAGTTTATGAAACTATACAGAATAGTAATGTGTAGCACACGCAAATGCACACCCATCAATTCACTATGCAAGAAATGAAGAGTTTCAACCCGACACATTTCATCAACAATTTGGCATTTTCGAATACCCCATCATACACAACACATGCGGGAGAGACACCCCTGAATGGCAAAGAATACACTTTAAAGGGATACGACAACGCACGATACACGTATTATATCAATGTGATTCCAACACTCAACAAATACCCCACTCATACGACTCGAAGTTATCAACTCTCGATTAACGAGCGGTTTGTCCCCGTCACGTATGGACCGACATTCACACAACCGGGCGTCTTCTTTAAATATGAGTTGTCGCCATATATCGTCATCAACGAGATGATGGACCACTCCTTTGCGCATTCGATTGCTTCGACTGCGGCTATCATTGGTGGCGTGTGGATTATATTTGGGTGGATCTCTCGATTCCTCAATAGGAAGACTGAGGAGCAGACTGCCGTCTCTGAACTCCAATAAGACTTTTTTATTAATACGTTTAGTACAAAGAACTAATAAGAATAATACAGAATAATCACTTGTAAATCAGATGAAATGGATATTAAATAATGTGTTGAGTAAGAATGAAGTGCTGATTGACACTCTTGTCATAGGGTTGAAGGACTATGGAGGTGTCATCTGAGTATTGACCATCTTCAATGGTCATACAAAGAGTCGGATATTTCACACTCCATATGGTACACCCTTTCCGATTGTTCCAACGAACATCCCACAACTGTCGAGCACTTAAATTGGGACGACACTGAAGAACTTCATAACGGGTGGGATCATCCTCGTTGGAAGCAAATAAGACCATCCCAGTCTTCTGACATAGAATGTTGCCATTGGTTTGCAATTCGAAGTATTGACACGGCGTCGGTGTTGTTGTGATGACCAAAGGTGAACGCTCATAATCGCCTCCTCCACATATGTCGAGGACAAAATCCGATATTAGAAATGGGGAAATGGTATAGACGACAGGAACGTCGTTCATTATGACAATAACAGTTTTTAGTTTTGATGAATGACAATAGGTCTTTGAATAACAAAATCTATTAATATCTATCTATTAATAATAATCTAAAGAGATATTAATAGATATATTAATCTTTATCAATGAATAGCTATCTAGATATCTATTATTATAAAGCTATATAAATAGATTGATGGAGAGACAAAGAGATTAGTTTAAATAACTAAACAGTATAATAAATGTATTCATTCAAAAAATTTCACTCCTCTTTCTGTGAAGTTAATCGCTCAACAGCTACACGCTCGGCCCAAAAGAACCGTTCAACTATAAAATCTTTCATTTGAACTACAGGCTGGGAAAATGATGACCAGAAGGTATTGGACTTCTCTTGTCCCTCGTCGTCGATGGCAATTAATACAGCAAATGAGTGTTGAATGTTAGCTAATAAGACAACAATATGCCAAATCGTATGGTTCAAATACTATGTGTTACTTTATAGTACATTAATTATAAATAAATAGTTTTGAATAACCTTGTACATTTTATTTTATATAATTAATAATTATATAAAATAATTATTAATTATTAGATAATATGATTATAATAGTTGAGATCATATCTCTTATTACAATCACGATTTGACGTGATTGTAATGACGGAATGAACAAATAAACAAACCAATTTGTCCCACGAAAAGAAGAGTGTACCTAAGAAATAGGTGATTCCCCCAGTAAACAACCAAAGTAACAACGAAGTTGGGCAGAAATAAAACCACCCTGGAGCGACTAGAATACAAGAGAACCCCATACATAAATACATAATGACATCCATATTGGAAGTTGGTGGAGAGAATAAGGTGAATAGAATCCCTGTGATCGCCATCACTGCTATCGAACAGATGACGACTATCCCACTCTTGACATACCCTTTCTCAAATAGCCGAGATAAGATGAAGCTGACATAACATCCCGTGATCATCAAATAGATAGTTAAGTGATCGAGTCTTTGGAAGATGTATCGAAGTCGAATGAATTGGGGCGTCACCAAATTAAATAGATGATATAAAGTACTATTACTATATAATACTAAACTACTAATACAAAAGAACATCACTGCAGTCTTCTTTGTCGTACTAAATCCTTTCCGTCCACATAACCGGAACATCGCTTTCATTTGGAAGATTGCAAATAAGATCCCAAAGACATGTGTTAAACAATTAAAGACTTCTTCACATGTGGTTTGACTCCTCTCATCCAGTGGAGAGAGTTGATTTCTGTAATACTGAAGATCACAAAGAATACACATCGTCTTGATTTGCAGTTGTTTCTATAGCCCTTTTATATCGGACGTTTTGCTGCGAAACTTCCAACTTTGGTTTTTGATTTTTTTTATTTGGGATTGGTGCGATGATATCACCTAAATTTTCGGGATCTAATCGAAATGGTATAGAGTATTGAAATAC